AGACCTTCTTGCAAAGTTCTTAGGCACAGCTCACCCAGTCAGATTGTAGCCAAGCGAGCCTTTGCAGCTGTTGCAGCAATAATGAACTTAAATGGTTATCCAGAATCAACATGGACTACTAATGAACAGGCCACTGGACCAGCCTAGATACTGCACTTAACTGTGGGAATGACCTACCCTGTGATCCAGTTACTCCTTACCCTTTGACTGGCTTGCCAATGTAGCAAATAAGACTTTCAGATGAGTCTCTATTGTAAGTACATAATGTTACATACTTAGGTTGACAGGCATACTCACAGGTCTTAAAGCCAAGCATGTGCATAAATCTTACTGGGATCATGGACTCCATCTATTTCTGTACAGTGACTAGCCCCATGATAGCCCTAACCTCATATGGGCCTTTGAAGTATTTCTGTAATACAAATCATTATAATGATAACTATTCAAATTTCAGACCCCAATCTGAAGTTTGCACTTCATATCCAACTCAAGTTTTGATTGCATATTATTGCCTACATTTTAATATAATGTGTACTCTTGTTCCAAAAAGCGAACAACATAGTGGGTTATATTAACTGAAGTGTCACTTGCAAATCAAGGGAATTGATTCTTCTGCTCTGTTTGGCACTGGTGAGACCTCACGTGGAATACTGTGTCCAGTTTGGGCTCCCCACTTCAAGAAGGATATGGACAGATTGGAAAGAGTCCAGCAGAAAGTGACAAAATTAGAGGACTAGGAAGCAAGATTTATGGGGAAAGACTGAATTGTCTATAGTTATTTAGCCTGGAGAAGAGAAGGGTGAGGGGGAATTTGATAGTGTTCATACTTGAAGGATGATTATAGCGAGAATGTAGATGGGCTTTTCTTTGTAGGGGAAGGACTGGGGGCAATGGCTTGCAGCAGAGGAAATTATATCAGGGATTAGGAGAAACTTTCTGACTATGAGGATGCTCAAGCATTGGAAAAGGCTGCGTAGAGAAATTGAGGAATCTCCATCCTTGGAAATTTTCAAGAGCAATTTGGACAAACACTTGGCTGGAGTGGTTTGGTCAGGAATGCTCCTGCCTTAAACAGGAGGCAGGACTAGATGACTTGGTGAGGTCCCTTCCAGACCTATTTTCCTATGATCCATTTTTATAATAGTTTTATATTTGTTAATTATCTGAGTGTCCTTCATTTGGGGGTATCTGTCTAGTTAGTAGCGCTGATGTCATATTTTGGTCCCAGTCCCATCATAAAAAGAACTGTGGCACCAGGCAGTGCAAAGCAGATATAACTGGCATGAGGCATGGAGAGCAGCAAAAACACAGCCAAAACTAAGAATAAAAACAGTACCCCACTTGTAGCTGTACCTGTCCACACTTCCCAAGAACTGAAAAAAAAAATCTGAGAACTTCTCAAAGACTGAAGTCTATAAATGGAGCAGCTTCAGCTAAACTTTTGAATTTATGGAGGAGATTCCCAACTGGTATAATCTGAGTTAGCTCTATTGATTTCATTTTGTAGCAGTGAAGGCCCTGATCCTTGATAGCTGCAAGTCTAGGAGTCAACAACTGAAAAGTTTTAAGGTCTTTTCAAAGATAAGTTCAGTTTGTTATAATTAGTATTAGCTTAAACTGTTACACCAGATTAATTATTTTTACATGTTCTGAGACTGCCTGACCATCTGCATGGGGATTTCAACGTAATAACCGAAACAAGTTTATTTTCCCCTGCCTCCCCAAAATTTTATTGATATTAAGTAATATAAGAAAGACCTGAGGCTATCCATTACCAAACTACTCTCCTGAAGGGACATTTAACATTAAATCATGAATAATGTCATCATAAACAGAAAATGGAACTAGTCCTGGGCATATACAACAATATGCAACATTTCAGCACAAAAGTTACTACTTTGAGCACTGCCAGTGAAGATGATGATTTATGCTGGCTGAAGATCTGGTACCAGATCCAAAGAGGGACTTATACACCTAAATCCAAATTTTTTGATGCAAAAAGTCCTTGCTCAATAATCACCTACCTCACTAGGTACTTAAAACTCTTTAGCTGCCTCCCTGGTTCAACCTGAAAGTTTCCTATGTGCTTACAGTTTTATGATCTATGCATGCCCAGAGGAGCACTCTCCTCCTGTTGGGGCTGGGCTTTTGAGCAGAAAGGAATGCAGGACTCATGGGGGCCAAAGACAGAAGAGGAGGGAACCTGTCTCTGTAGCCTTGCTCACATCCCTGCTTATACATTTTACACTGAAACATCACTGGATAAAAAAGACATTATCCTGGGAACAGGGCTCAGAACTTGTATGGCTTTCCCCCTCTTAGGTCAACACCCTAATTCATCTGAATAGGACATGGGAGGAAAAACATTTCATAACAGAGTTTTATGTGTAGTGTGAAACAGGGCACCAGTAACAGTACAGTTGTACGTATGCTATATGGTATATAATCAAAGCCTTTGGGTGATATTTGAACCCATATTTTGCTGGCTTTGAGGTGAGCATGTTAGCAGTGTGATGAGAAGTCCTATTAGGAAGTGCTTACGTATTCAAAGTGAAATATAAAAGGAACTTGGTCATAGAGGTCAGTTAAGAGGATCCAATAAATGATTTTATGATCAAGGAAGTAACAAAAAAAAACCTTACAAAACACTATAATCATTATTATTTACATCACACAGTATAATGTAAACTCATAACATGCAACCTAGGCCCCAAGGACCTTGCAATCTAAGATGCCAATCCTGCAAGACATGTGAATAGTTCTTCCTTCACGGGATTTGGCTCCAGCAGATTTATTGATATGAGCTGAGACCACTTGTATAAAGAAGGCCTGAAAAATCAGGAATGAAAACGTTGCTAGCTGGAGAATTGTTATTCTGAGGACCTTGTATCCCAATGAAGCACAATTGCATTTTCCAGCTGTATCACTAGGTCAGGCATGAAGAAGCAGTAGAAGCTCTGAGAAAGGCAGCTGGCACAGAAAGCAGTTAATTGATAACTATTACCATGAAGATATTTGGGGAAAACAGGGGGGTATTTGTGTTCACATAATCTTTAAAAAATTGCTTGGAAACATTCTTAGAAAGCCATCATATTTTCAGTTTTACGGTCCCAATTAGTGGGACTTTCACCATTGAGTTGAATGGGGAAGGTTGAAGCCATTAATACCCTGCTGTCTTTTCTATCAAATAGTCCACACTTGAGGGTTTATTTGCCATGGGACCAAACATTTTCTCACAGATTTATAACACAGATAGGTAGTGGGAAAAGAGTAGGTATATTTTGAAAATTCTTTAAAAAAATCATTTTGCTGAAATTATACCCCCAAATTCTGAAATTGTCCCAGGTTCTGATTAAAACATTAAAAATACCATCATCATGAAACTGAAAATGAAGGTGGGGGTGTTTTTGTTGCTGTATTTTTATTTTCTTCTCTTTCCCTGTTTCCCCTTTTTGCTCTTCTTACATGTTTCCATGATGGGGGAAGGGAGTGGAGTTGCAAGAGGAATGGAGAAGGAGCTGAGGGAAGAATTAAAATAAAAAAATTGAAATCTGACCATAGTTAAAACTAAACAAAAAGAGTTTTCTTGTGGACAATCTGGACAATTGGGGCAGGAAGAGAATGATTTGCCATGAAAAATGCTAAATAAAATTCTTAAAAAAAAAAAAAAAAAAGGACATAATTTTAACCATTTCCCATTACCACATATTAATTTTAATCTAGCAAACCAAGGTTATTTTTTTGACCTTCAGAAAAAAAGAGACCAGAATATAGCTATGCTGAGGTGTTTTGGCTTTACAAATGAATTACTTTATTTTCGTATACGTTATCACTATCATTTACAAAGCTATTTGAAGGATTTAGGTCCCTCATTCCCTTTAAAATTAAAAGGAACTGGACATTCAGATCCCCTAGTCAGCTTTGGAAATCTCAGTGTAATTTATATGAAGTATGTCCCCAAGTATAGGTATATTATAATTATGGTTCACAGTAGCACTGCCATACAGCCATACTTTTATGTAGTTCCTTTAATCACAAAGCTTTATAACCAATTTATAGTCCATCATAAAGTCTTTAAGTAGACGCAGCTTCCACTAAAGTCAATAAGTGTTTTGTCCAAATACAGATTATAAAATCAAATTGGATAGATAGATAGATAGATAGATAGATAGATAGATAGATATCCAATTTGATTTTATAATCTGTATTTGGTTGATACATATATATATGTATATATGTTTGTGTATACAAGCTCCCTCTTATAATGAAACTCCCCCTCTGATGCCACACAGTAGCTATTTAACAAGCAACGTCAACCCTACACATAGTTTGGGGAGTTAATAAAGTGTATTATATGCAACTGCAACTGCACAAAGAATATATGTGGACAGAATGTAAATATTACTCATTAAGGCTGGCTATAAGTTTCCTGTGGAAGCTGTTTTTTTCAGCTGGGAATTGGAGTTTTGATTAAATGAACATTGCAGGGGTGGGGAAGAATCTGCTTCTGGACAGAAAACTTAAACTTTTTGGTGAAAAAGAATTGATACCTGAAGATCAAAATATTTTGTCTAAAAAGATAAACTTTGCATTCAGAAAAGTCAAAACACTTCTTTTCAAAAGCTTCCATTAAGCTAAAGGGGTTTGAAAGACCCAAAATGAGTTTCAGATTTAATCTGACATGAAATCTTGCTCCCTGAGCCATCTCCTTGCCTCATGGAACCCATTGTTCAAGACCCTCCTGTCCTCACCTCCTCTGTGGGCCAAGCCACATCTTGAATGAGGAATGGAATAATTCAGAGATACAGATTTAAACATGAAAGCTGACCAATTTTTCCATCCATTTAAGTCAAGTCAGAGTACTGTGCATGTCAAAATGCTGAATATTCTATTCTTTGATCAGAGGTTTTCATTATTTTTCATCTCGTCCTTTCATCTTAGATAATTTATCCTTGTATGTACAATATCAGCATCTCACCATACTCTTGGTTGCAAATTTGATTCGAAGGTGTATTAGAGACCTGGAATACACTTAACGAAATAGTCTTTCATCCACTTCTAGGTTGCAAAGTTTTCTCATTGTCTCTTTGACTGGGGTTGAAGCCATCACCATTCAGTGCTTAAGTCTTGCAAGTCAGGAATCAGTAGATTCTGCTACTAGCTGCATACTCTCTTGCAGCTACTTTTCACCGTATCATTACAGACCTGTTGAGTCATTCCACATGTTGCTTTCCATGCTGAAATAAAGATTTAATTTGAGGGAAATTATCTCATGATCAGCATTGAACAATTCCATTCACTTTCATTTCATTCATATTGTTCCATTCACACTGAATTGCTTTCTCTTCCATATCACATCACTGCTGTCTCCACCACACAGCCATATGCAAACCAAATAAAAGAGACTTTCCAGGGGGCTGGGGCACATGACTTACAAGGAGAAGCTGATGGAACTGGGCTTATTTAGTCTGGAGAAGAAAAGACTGAAAGGGGATTTAATAGCAGTCTTTACCTAGCTGAAGTGGGGGCTGAGAGAGGATGGAGCTAGACTGTTCTCAGTGCTGGTAGATGACAGAACAAGGAGCAATGCTCTCAAATTGCAGCAAGGAACATTTAGATTAGATATCAGGAGAATCTTTCTCACTAGGTGTGTAGTAAAGCACTGGAATAGATTACCCGGAGAGGTTGTGAAATCTTCATCCTTGGAGGTTTTAAGATCTGGCTAGACAGCCTTGGCTGAGATGATCTAGTTGTGGCTGGTTGTGCTTTGAGCAGGGGGTTGGACTAGGTGACCTCCTGAGGTCCCTTCCAACCCTCATTTTCTATGTTTCTCCGATTTGTTTAATTTATAATATGCTTTATAAAGAATACCATCTACCCCAAGTTTCAGGGTTTCTTCCCAAGCCCACCAATGTCATTCCGCTCTCCAATTGTCTTCACTGGGTTCTGGAACAGGCTCTAGACACTTTTGTCAACCACCTACAGTATATTTACAGGTAAAGGTAAGGAGAAGTTCCTACTTCTGTAATATGGAAAGAACTGATCATTGGTAGTAACAAGAGGCTCAGCCATGAGCTGTCTCCCTCACAAGGGCAGTCTCCTTCCTTTTCCATCAGAGGCCCAAGTGAATAAATAGGTCTTCTAAGGTCAAGAAACTCTAGATATTTTGGAACAAGCAGGAATGTAAGACCCAAAATCCCTCATGGAGGGCACCCTTTTCAGCTGCCCTCTTTCTCCTCTGCTGAATGAATTCCAGGTTGAGGATCGCTTGATAATGTTGGAGAGGGAGAGAGGGGACTTGTCAGGCAAACAGATCACAAGATATTTAAAGCTTCATCATTAGAACCAGCTCCTTAAATTCTACCTGGAAATCAGCAGGCAGCTAGTTCAGGTCCTAAGTTACAGGAACATTTGTACATCACTAGAACTCCACGCTTGGCATTGGCCAGTAGTGTAACTAGGGGTGGGTGAGCAGGGCACTAGCACGGGGAGGGACCCCAGCTCTAGTTATATCTGATATTGGCCTTGGCAAGTGCTGATCTGACTCCAGTTTAAATCTGAAGTAGCTGACTGCAGTGTTCCACAGACTGAGGGAAGGGTTCATCCATCTGTCCTTACGACAAACAATGGACAGTGATAAATGCACAGCCCAAAGACATGATTCTGCCACTCTCACTGTGTGGCTTCTTCCTTTGAAAGCTGTCCCAGTGTTTACAGTACTTGAAGGGGCAGAATTGAACTCTGACTAATACGGGGCAATTCAGAAGGATGCTGGAGACTCAGAGGTATGTTCAACCTTTCAGTCTGTTATTTTTAATGTCAAAATTGATTACACCAATGTGCATGATGCATGTTGTACATGATGTAGGCTGACATGAATGGGCTTTAGAGAGAAAGATTAATCCTGCTGGACTTGCATGTTGTCACTGGACTTACTCCTCATTTATACTGGTGTCACTTATCACATTCAGATCCTGTGAGTTTTCAGGAGTGAATTTCCAAAGAGATGGCAGATATCCAACAAAAGAGAGAGAATTCCAGACATACCATAGCATCTTAGGTTGCAGTACCAGAATTTGGGCATAACTAATAGCCTGCATACCCTTGTGGGCCAGGGAATCTAAAATCAGATCCAGAGCTGCTTCTGCAAATGAATGGCCTCTGTTGTATAAAAGGGCATAATATCACGACAGATTTCCTTTTGCCAAGCCCTGAAATATTGGAAATCTTAATTCTGAATTTTGCTGCTCAAAACCAAGACTCTGACTACAGAGTTAATCCAATTCTGTCAGACTGTATGTTTCTAGGAATCTAACACATTGTCTCACCTGCCTGTTCTTGAACTTCAGTAGGTTGGTAAAATGTAGAATTTTCTTCTTCAAGAAAACCAATATGCAGTTCACAAGGAGAGAGAGGAGTGCAATGAAGTAAACTGCAAGTAAAAGAATTCAGCTATTTTAACAACTGCTTGATGGTAAAAAGGAGCAGTTCCCCACACAAAACAGGCATCTCCACAGCACAGTAAGGGTGATCTTCAGTTCCAAAATCCAACCAAGCTTCGGTTTGCTCCTCAACCCCTTCCTTACTCACATGAACAACTCTTCCATGAGCAGTCTCCTTGTCTTGGGCCTCCTAGAGTTAATAAACAGGCTTGAGATTTTTTAAATTTTAATACTATGTATTTCACATGTGCACTAAAAATAATTAGCAGTGACGTTATTAGCAGGATGATTATTGGAATCATGTGGAGAGTGCTGATGTGCTGTCAGAGTTTTAATAAGTGATTATTTTAACAAATGATTCCAACAATTTTCTACCTCAATTTATGATACTAGACACAGTTTTTTCACAAGATGCTATTCCTTTCCCTAACCTCCCTCCAGCCCAACCCATCAGCTCCACCCCTGTAGGCTCAAAATCCTCATTCCTTTCACCTTCCTTTCACCCTTGTCCCTGTACCTTGTGACCTACCATAGAATCATATGGCTGGAAGGGGACTTGAGGGGCATTTGGTACAACCCCCTATGCTTTTTCCATTCCTCAACATGATATTGCACTATCTAGAATCTTTTTATTGCAGTAGCATCTGAGGCCTCTTTGGATCTCAGCAGAGGTAGACAAGTCACTCTGGGAATGTTGGTGGCTCTTGCAGAGCTGGTCTCTCCTGATTTCTGGAGGTCTCTGCTACCTAGTTTGAAGGGATGGAGGAGAGGAGAATGTTGGGAAGAGAGAGGCAATCACCTGGCTGGTAGGTTAAGGAACAAGAAGCCAAGCTGCTTCCCAGTACCAGCTCAATGGACTCTAGGCTAGAGTTTGGCAGGCAGGTCAGCACTGGTGCAGAAAAAAGCTCTAATGGACTAATTACTCCATTCATAAAAAAAGGAATGTGGCATTTGTTCCTCTCCTACTCTGCTCTGGGGACTGTGGGACTTGCTACTGTGCATGGGAATGGAAATTATAGGTATTATGTGGTGAGTCTCCTGTCTTCACCCAGAAATACTTGCAAGGGATGGAAGAAAGGAGCCTTCCCTTGCAGCAACTGCTTTGGATGCTACAATGCTGGGTGAGATCAGACCCTGATCCAGCAAAGCACTTAAGCACATGCGTGACTTTAAGCAGATGAGTAAAGTCAATGGGGCTTCCATCTGTTTGAATTTAAGCCTGTTCTTAAGTGTGCCCCTAATGTCAAAGACATTTGTACTCATGTTTGTGCCACAGCGCCCCTTTTAAAAGTGCCCACCACTGTGGCGCATGCATTTGTATAAATGGCAAAATGCACATCAGTGCTCAGAAAATGGCAACGGTGCACTTTTGAACTAAAACACGCTGAAGGTGTTTTAGTTCAAAAGTGCACTTGCTGCCATTTTCTCAGTGCTAGCATGCATTTTGCCATTTATACAAATGCACATGATGCAGCACTGGATGCATCAGCTCACGCTGGAGCAGACAAATGTATGTGTATAAATTACTCTAATGGCATTAGGGAGTGAACACTTCAACAAGCAAATAGCCTTAGGCCTTTGTGTTGGTTGCAAATAACAGTTTCTTGTTATCTTCTGGCAATATGTTAGCAATATCCATAAATATCAGAGCCCTGAGTACAGGTCTGGACAAATGAATCTGGGACAAGTTCTCAAGATGGTTGTTTTGCTTAAAGTAGGGAAGAAAAGTGAGGAGATGGGAAGATGTCTAAGTCGTCCAATCCACCTATTATGAAAGTAAGAAACAGTGCTTTTCCCTTTCAATTGTTATGATTGAGTTACACCAGGAAGATTTTTTCAAGGCTTTCTTTGCAAATAAAATGACTAGGGACTTAAATGTAACCCCTCCCCCCCTGCAAGAATACCTTTTCAACATCTGGGGTCTTAGGAGAGGACCCATAAGCACTCCTGCAACTTGTAAATAGCAGTTAGTCCAACTATGAACATTCATAGTTTAGATACATCACATTTACTCAAATACAAGATAAGGTTTTTATTCCCCAATCAGCATTTTTTTTGTGGGGGGGAATCTGCTCATCTTACATTCACATACAAGGAAACCTCATTAAAAACATTGCCTGTCATTAAACTGCTGCCAAAAGCATTGTACGATCAGTAATGGAAACCAATTATAAAAATTAGATTCAGCCAACATGAGTATGAGTATAAAACACATGGCCCATACTGAACAAACACTGTTGGGAACCTGCCAGAAGGATAGGTTAGTTCAGCACATCTAAATAACATACATAGTGAAGCCCATTGCACTCAGTCCTGCTCAGTGCCAACTCTTTTTCAAGTCATGGTAAGCCACCACATTGAATACATTTTTACTTTCTCTTCACTGTCACGACTGAAGAGTGTCTTTCTTTTCCATTTCCAGTTGCCCCTGTTTCCTCACGAGCCTTAAGTGTTTGGCAAACATCACCAAATGGGTCCCCAAACAGTTCACCCAGAATCCCTCTGTCACCCCCTTCCCACCCCCCAAGCCTGTTCCATACAATTAGTATGGCCCTACCCTTCATTAGGTAGAGCCAGACCAGGCTGCCCTTTGCCTCATCTGGATATACATTTTTTGAGGATTCCAGGACTCATGATAAGAACATCCAATTCCAGTCATGAGTCATGTGCTAATTAGCACGTGGATCCTTTTTAGGAGGAGGGGTATCTGGAGTACATACACTGAGCAGTGCTGAACTGTGGGGTCACCACGGCTTGAAATGCTGTTGACTCTGCTGGGGGCAGCCCAATGAACTCTACAGTAATGCATTTTGGCTTTAGACTAATATCATGCCTATTTTTGTACTACAAATAAGTAGGTATAAAAGCACTGCTCAAAAACATTTTTATGGAGTCCCTCTGCTAAAATTTGCAGCAGTTTCAAAAAGGTAAAATGCATAAATTCTGGATGAATTAAGCCTGTCTACCTTCTAGCAATTTGCCTGTAAAATTTTCTCCTCACTTCCATGTGCTTAGGGAAGGCAGGTTCTGACAATCAAGGAAGGGAAGAAAGACCTGAAGAGAGAAGTTGCAGGGAGGCAGAGGGTAAATGGACTACCTGATCCCCCAGATTTATTTTTCCCTGCCGTAGCAGTGGGAGGGGAACAGATTCAAAGGAAACCTCCAATAATTGGTTTCTATACCTGGACAATTATAGCAAATTTATAAATTTTCCATATATAGAATGTAATTATTGGGGAATCATTTTATACTTGAGTAAATACAGTAAATAGTATTGAATTCTCCCAAAACTTCAATTAGCACATGTTTTATATTCCAAAACAATTTCCATTCTAGCATTGATGGTAAACTGTATATCTCTGTCTTACCATAAATTTAGTTAATTCTCTGCACAATAAAATAGGAGATAAAGCTCTTCTCCAGATAAAGGCCTCATCCCATAAGCTAGCAAGTACCAACTGAGAATTGTTTTGTACACCCATTGACTTAAATTTCAAAACCAATGACTGCATAGGGAACCAAAGGTACCAGGCACTGCACAAGTCTGGGCCCTAGCTAATTTACTGATCTTGCAATTACTGGGCAAGTGCAGTAAGACCATCAAAGTAACACATTTTTCATATCCTTTTCTCTAGTCTAAACAGAGTCTAAGAGAAGCAATATATTTAAGTACACTAGACCAGAGGTGACCAAGATATGTCCTACAGATCCATGTCATCTGGCCTACAAAATGCCCCATGGGTCCAAAAATTTGGCGGTGTGGTGAGCAGTAGGCCTGTGCGAGTCGGTAGCGATCCGATCTGGCTTCAGATCCGACCACTTCGGATGGCCGTGATCCAATCCGGAGCTCTGGACCGGGTTTCCGCCATGATCCAGCCTCAGAGCTGCCTCTGAGATCCGGCCATAGGGTATAATGGGGAATCAAAGAAATATCTATAACTCTGTTGTCTTTTGTCCAAACGAGGCCAGCGCTTTGATCCAGATGTGCTGCTTCGGACCCCGAAGCGTCTGAAGCTTCTCTGGATCCGAAGCTCTGTCTGAAGCCTTGCACAGCCCTAGTGAGCAGTATTAGCTGCAGTTCCCACTGCTTGTCCTGCCACCAAATGTTTAGACCCACGGGAAACCTCACAGACTGGATATGGAGTATGGACCCACGTCATCTGGCCTATGGTGCTGGAGTTTGGTGGCAGAAAGAGAGGTGGCTGCCATGGTTCTGCAAGCCTCAGCAATTAATGCTGTGACTACCAAATTCCAGCTCTGTGGGCCAAATGACACAGCTCCATGCTGGATCACAGGGATCAGCCCCACACTACTTGGGCCAGAGATGGGCACCACTGCACTAGGCTGTCTGAAGTTTACCTTTCTTATTCCTACCTGGAAATAAGACTACATTCTTCCATCTACACGTTGTTTTTCTCTCAGAGAACTCTTTTTTGTCTGCCTCTTGTTCTTCCCACATCAGGACTGATGGATTCTTCTTCACATCAGACGTGCCTGTCAAGTTGTCAGGAGAGAAGCTACATTAACTTCTACAATTCATTTGTGTATTACTTCCTAGTATTTCTCTGCATGCAGATAAAGGTGGCAGTTGTTGAGTTTCATTGAAATACTATAAGAATCAACTACCTTTTAGATTTAAAAACATGTAGGGATCCTAAAGCAACAAGCAAAACCTTATGAAAAAAATTCAAATTATTTTTGTAAAATCTGAACTTTCAAAAATTCTCCATTGGTCCTACTGCAAATATTTCTAGATGAAATTAACAACCTTGAAAAGAAGCCTTTTATACAGGAATGCAGTCCATCATCCCAAACTAGCAAATATTTTGTTTGAGGACTGAAGCAAGTCAGAACACTTTCACAAGAACGAAATTTCAACAACATGGAACTACCATTTAAAAAAGAGAAAATCCTGTTTTATTTTCCGTGACCTGTTCCACACAGCATACTGTCCCATTTCCCCCCTCCCCCTGTTCTTTCCCCCCATAAGGGTAAATTTCTGCATCTAAGTAACATATTGGGGCAAGCTTGAGAGTGGCCATGAGATGCAGCCTCAGAGTGGCTGTACTGCTGCATTGCTGGGTTTGGCTCATGTGAGGGGGAATGAATGGGTGGGCAAAGTATGTTTGAGCATGTCCCTCTCCATGAGCACCATGGAAGTGCTGCAGATGTTGCCCTTTTAAGCCTGATGTTTGCTGGGAGAGGCCTGAGGGACTTTGGTTCACTCTGAGGGAAGGGAGGGTTGAAGTAAGATCTCTGGGGAAGCATTTCCATAGGGACTTAGCAAGATGCCTAGGAGATGGCTGGGATCAAGCTTCTTGGTGAAGACAGTGTTTTTACTTTTGGCATGCTGAAAGATGCAGTGGCCTCTGGTGTCCGAAACAGACTGTCATGAAGTGCTTTTCTTAGTCATTTTATAAACAGTAAAACTCGCCTTGCAGAAAGTGCCTGCAGTTTGGCCTTCCTGGCTGGCAGGTGAGGATCAAGGCAGGTGGGTGGTCTACAGCAGTGCAGATGCACCCCAACTTTTGCCACCACTGCTGCCATCCTTGCCTGACCCAGGTCCAGGGAAGAGCTACTCCTGCCCTACTCCAGCCGTGGGCTGCAGCGGCTCAGGAACCCAGGCTGGACAGGGGACACACAACTTTCCCCTCCCAGCACCTGTTCCCTGCCCATCCCTCCCCTGCCACTATTGCCATTGGCTGAGAGCAAGTACTGGCAGCAGAAACCCATGCACCACCACTGCCCTTCTCATCTGGCCCAGGAGCCCCAGAGCTACTCCCACCCTGCTGTGCAGGGAGCAGCTGTGTGGGCAGCTGGGCTTTCCTATGGACAGCACTAGCAGCAGTGTGCAGGTTCCTCCTTCCAGCACCTGCTCCCTGCTGAGCTCCCAGGGTTCCTCAGGGGACTCCAGCCGTGCCTCGCCCCCAACCCCCTAAAGTCCAAGGGGCACTGTGGCACTTCACACTTCAGGAAATCCTGGATGTGGGCACGTGCATCTGCTTAGTTTCTAGACGAGTCAGAGATCATTGACTCTTCACTATTGTGTGTTATAGTGCTTTTGATCAGTAAAAGTTCAAAGTCTCGAGCAGGGCTTATTATTAATTCCACCCTCTGGTCCATTATGTGCACTGCCTGGAGTTAGCAGGAAAATTTTCCCTTACACCAAGGGTGTCATAAGTACAGCCCATGGGCTGACTCTCATTAGCAGAGCCACATCAACCAGCCCTCAGCACTGGCCCCATGCAGGGTCAGTCCAGGCTCCCAATGCATGCCAGATCCAGCACCCACAATGCCTACCCCAGCTAGTCCAAGATGTGAACCACACATGGTGCCTGCTCTAGCCAGTCTGTAATATGGGTCTTAGAACAGGCACTATATGTGGTGCAGTCCTAAACCAGTCAGACCAGGTGCTGGATCCATCATGCAGGGAGCATGGGGCTCCATGGGACCCCTGCATGCCAGATCGGGTACCTGCTCTGGCTAGTCTAGGACTGAACTGCACATGGCACCTGCTTCAGGTGATCTGAGATCCACACAGCACCTGGTGCCCACCCTGGACTGGCAGGAGTGGTTGTTGCATGTAACATCTGTTCCAGTCTGGTTAGAGAAGGTGCCATGTGCAACATAGTCCTGGACCAGCCAGAGGGGGTACCATAGCACTGTATGTGGCATGCTGGGGGAGAGGGTGGGCACAGTCCACAGACTCGGTCTGACCATTTGCAGGGCCAGATGAATCTGACACCCCTGCCTTACACTAAATCATCCTGCTGAGTATCCTCTTTGTTTTGTGATTCCTCTCAGAAAACTAACTTAGAGTATCTTTCGTTTCTTCCAATGTTTTATGTCACGTAGCGTGGTTCGATGTGATTGATGCAGCTGGACACGAACTGCACTCCAGAGTTAGGTTGTGTGAATAAGAATTCTGGAAGGTCTAAGAGCAGGGTAAAAGAGTGAAATGTGACTGGAAAGCAAACTCTATGAAGCATTTTACTTATTGCATCGCCCACTGAACATAACAGGGTAAGTTGAGGATTGGCTTACAGCCTAAACTCAGAATTTCCCTATCTTTAGTTCTTTAGTTTGAGCCTCCTGTTATTTCAGTAATGTAACATGTTGGATATTTATTGTTGTTATATTAATCTAATGCTAGCTTTTTAAAGGAATATTATCAATTTAAAAACACACTTCTTTTACAATC